CTGCTCTCACCTAAATCTCGGTCTGCACATAAATGTGTCATTCTCATCCTCTTCCTCCATCTCTGGTCTGCCATCTTTGCTCTCTGCCTGTTGTTTTAAGAGCGGGCAGTACACGTCCTCTTTTTCCTCGATTTCAGCCAGCAAGAGTTGGCCATGCATCTTAAAAGCTGCCATTACCCTCTCCAGTGTATAGGCTGGTGGACTGGAGTGAATCTAGAAGGCACAGGGACAGATAATAAAAGTCACAAAAAAAAATTATAACAGACCAAACAAAAACAACAAAAACAAAAACAAAAAAACCCTCACGTATGGACACCAACCTAACCCACACACTACCCACCGCTACCTACCTTCCTGGGAGGCCTCCACATGCAGCTGTGTGTGATCAGGGGGACACTGTGGGGTCTCTTGCCTGAGTACTCAGACCCCCCCACTTCCACTGTTGCCCCTGAGGCTGTCCCCCGAAAGGTCATGAGTTCGCCACGAAGGCGATCAATCATTATCTGCTGGTTCACCAGTTGTTCTGTCTAAACATTTGCACAGAGGCGCACATTTAAAGAACAAATGATAACACAGCAGACATGCCTTAAATTCATCTTTTAATTTTTTTCCCCGTAAATAAAATATACTGATTTCTGCATCACAGAGCAGCTCTTTATTGCACTGTTCTCCTCCTCACCTGTATACGTAATCGCTGCTTTTCTTCCTCTAACGACATAAGGTGAGTTTTCCTCTCTTGAAGGAGTTTCTCGAGTTCCTCCTTTACCCGTCTCAGTTCTGCATCTTTCTGCTCCAACAGTTGCTCGTCTATGTGGAGAGCTTCCTAAGCATACAAAAGAGAAACTGGATAGGATAGCAAGCCTATAAAATTGTACAGCTTGGCTTTTGTTTATGTAAACAGTTCCATTTGAGCCATGCTGCATTTGTTCACATCACCTTATCAAAAGCTCTCAGAGGATAAGATATTCCAGATGAAATGTTGACAACTTGTAACGGAAACAAAGGAATAACCAATGATATACCAATGGCTTCACTTCTTTCTACAGCCTCAAATCTAAACGGGATGCAGTCATTCTTAGTTTACATTAGCTATGCCAGTGGTTTTAAAAAAAAAAAAAAAAAAATCCATATTAGACTTCAGTTCTTTAACGGCAATTCCATCAGCAGTTTGAATGCTTTCAGTCTGAATACGCTTCTCCTATTCTGAATAACAGGTATCTATGAGGGTACAGTAATATATAAACAGTGTTGGGGAGTAACGGAATACATGTACCGCCGTTACGTATTTAAAATACAAAATATGAGTAACTGTATTCCGTTACAGTTACCGTTTAAAAAGGTGGTATTTAGAATACAGTTACTTTGTTGAAATAAATGGATTACACGGCGGTACTTCCCTGTTTCATATTGTGGCGGGTCAGGCCTGTTTGGGTTTTGTTTGACAGTTATGTTCTGTTGTTCCAGGCGGCAGCGTTACGGTTGCCATGGTTACAGGGTGACCTCTCTCTGCGTGTTTCCTGGGTGAGAGAGCCTTTTTGTTGTTGTTGTGCTAAGCTAATAGGCAGAATGCTACAGGTATAGCTCTAAAGAATGTAGCACCATAGGCAGTGTAGTCCGTGCTGCAGGGAGAATGGACTGCCATACCCGTTATGTGTCTGTGAGCGAGGGAGGGAGAAAAAGGAAAAGTACGAGCTGTCATCGAGCAAAAACGGGAGCTGGAAGCATGTAAATATAATAATAACCACTGCAGCCAAGAAGAGTGCCTGACGAGCCCAGTTGTAAGTAAGCTATTAAGACTCGACTGTACACTGTGTTCGTGTTTTCCTCCAAAAACAATAAGTTCCTTTGGAGCAGCCGTTCAACGCCTCTCTTTGTCTCTCGCAAGCAAAGTTGACCCAGACAACAAAGTAAAGCTATTTTTTGGCTATGAGCCCGACACAGAACCCACCGTATTAGTCAGAGGTCCCTTTACTAGGTTCGGAGCCGCGGACCTTCAGTAACAGTAATAAATCACAGCAATAGTACATTCACGTAGTTGTAAACAGCATGATAATATATTAAGTAATCCAAAGTATTCAGAATACGTTACTCTCATTGAGTAACGTAACGGAATACGTTACAGAATACATTTCGGGGCATGTATTCTGTATTCTGTAATGGAATACATTTTAAAAGTAACCTTCCCAACACTGTATATAAATAAGACACCAAGCTCATTTACATGCCTTTGTTGTTGTTTAATGTGACAGGCATGTCCACATGTTGGAGACACTAGCCATCTTTTAGGCTTCAAGGTAAGCAAATAAAAATCTCTGAGGTTTTTTGCGTTACTTTTTATCAATTGCTTGTAATCAAAGTTTTTGCGATCTCTTCATGGCAACATCCCTTTTAAAATTGTTTATAGTTACCTGGCATTTTTGTAGCTCTTCTCTGAGGTTTAATGGAGCAAAATGGTCTCTCTCCTCCTTTGAACACTCCATACGAGTTGGAGGTGAGTAACTGACAGCTCTGAGTCTCTCTTGCCAATCCTCCAGCCGCTCCCTGAAAGAAGGACTTGGAGAGGGGCCAGAGATATTCTCAAGCAGAGCAGCAGCTTCCTCTGCCAACAGACGGTACTGTGACGTTTCCTCTCGGCTTGCTGTCCTATCTGGTTCAGATACTCCGGTCTGACAGTATGCATTGATGTCACTTCCCTCTTCATATCTCTGACCAGTCTTTGCCTTTTCTGTTTCCACCTCTCTCTCCTTCCCTTTCAACAGCTCTCTCAGTGTCTTTACTTCATACTCTAGCTCTCCTAGTCGAGCATCACTGGGTTGCCAGGTTGTAGTAGGGCATGATTTAACCTCTGTTTGATCCGGTGTTTCTCCTGGACGGTTCTGAACGGATCGGGCAGTGGATGCAAACTGCAGGACGCCCAGGGTGTCAGCTACAAAGTGGTTGGAGGGGCTTACACATGCCACCATTAGTGTGTGGGCGCTGCCTCCTAATGAGTCACGAAGGAGTCGAGTTATCTTGGCATCACGGTATGGTACGTGTGCACTGCAGGAGTTGTTAGTGTGCCGATTTCGACTTAGCTCTGAAAGTGCACGGATAACGTTGCCCAGCGCAAACAAGCCTGTGTTGATATGAGCAGACTCTTTCAGTTGTGTCCCGGTGTTCCCAGTTTTTCCAGCACGTTCCAAGCCTGCCAGGTCAACCAGGCAGAGCTTAGAGGAGCGGACAGACTTAAAGGAAGAGTTCTTGCTGTTGTGGCAGGATAACATGACCTGAAGGGTGAGGATGGTATGAGAGCGACTAGAGCGCTCATTCATTCCTGTGCTCCCGGTGTGCCGGAAAATATTTCCCATCTCTACATTGTTGAGCAGCTCCTCTGCTGAGGTGATAACAACCTCATTGGCTCCCACCACCACTGGAATCACACAAAGAGACTTTTTAGTCAATGAAACAAGACTGTTGCTTCCCGTGTAGGCAGACATTCACACAAAATGCCTAATCTCACTGGATCATTTATCATTCACTCATTAAATGTGCTGAAAACAATTTTACATATTATTACAAGTAGGTGCACCGCAGGGTCGCTGACTGTAAATGATTACACAGTATATAATATCTTTTGCAGTACTTGTGATTTCTCCAGTGCGCTCTCTCAAACTTTTTATCCTGAAATACATACATGTTAATAACATCACAACGGTCTATCAATCGGATGAAACTCAGATGGATGGTCGAAAATATAGGATGCAGTTTGTCATCTCTGAAAGTGTATGGTTTCTACTTTTTTATTTCTACTCTGAATATTAAAATATATGTAAAGTAAAGGTAGAAAAAGTTGATTACCTGTGTTTCCCCTCTCATCTTCCCTGATATGAAGCTCTTTGTGGATGGTCTGCAGCTGCAAAAGGTCTCTTAGTTCCTCCCTGTAGACCTCAATGTAGGACACCTTCACTGTGACATCCACAACATCACTTTCCTTCCTCTTCTCCGCCAGGTATAGGAACAGATCCTGGGCTGCGTGGTCAATAATTCCCCCCTCTTCATCTATGGGAGGTTTTGGAAAAAGAGAATTACAGTTATGAAGTTAGAAAGTTCAGATGATTAATGGGCCTTAGAGAGCACAAACAAAACTCCTAAAACTGCTGTGTTTAAAGACTCAAGCCCAGAGATGTTGGTTTTTCCACACTAAATAAACAACCCCCTGAACCCCTTAATTCCCTTTTTCCTACAATCCTTGAACTCATCAGTCACTTATCAGTCAGAGTGGTTAAGCTCTGTGTTGGAGCTTAACCAAATTTTTTGGTTAAACTTTACATTACCTCGGCTCCTTCTGCCCAGTGTGTACGTCTTGCCTGATCCAGTCTGCCCGTAACAAAAAACGGTTGCATTTTCACCGTCGACCAAACGCTCCACCAGGCTTTGGACGCAGGATCCGTACACCTCATCCTGGCTGACTGATGGTCCAAACGCGTTGTCAAAGGTGAAGAGTCGGTCCTCACCCACCATCACCTGTCCGGTCCCCGGCACTACACGCACACACACCCTGTGGTCGTGGAGGACTTCTTTGGGGAGCAGAGGCCGGATACGGACCGCCACCCGCACACATCCTTCGCTCATGACGTCCTGATGTCTTTAAAGGAGCTCTTTAACTTGTTTATCTCGATATTAACAAGAATCAATAAACACAAATTCACCGTAAAACCTGGTCACTTTTATTCGGGCAATCGCTTGTCGCGCTCTTGTTAAACTTTTTGACATCTCGTTTGTTGTCGGTCCTCGGTTGCCCGGGAAACCGCTGCCGCCACCGTCATGAAACCGGAAGTGGGGATGTTCAAGAGTACTCGTGGAAGTCGGCGCCGTTAAGGCGACAGCGCTATCAGGAGTCTGAGATTTACTTGATTTATAGATTTGTTAGGTCTTTTTAAGATATGATGACTTTCATTTGCCATACAGCGAAACCGGTCATATGAGACAACCAACTAATTGTTATTTAACTCTATTTTTAAGACAACCGGACTAAGTTAAGTTTGCGAATAGGTTTCAGCTCTTACTCAAGAGTCTTCTCCAATTCTAAAGATTTCAGTTGTTTTTTTTAAATAAAAATCAGTTTCTATTTTACAAAGGTATAGAGCAGTTTTATTTACACAGGCATTTGCTTAGTGGTTAGTATGAGTGTATAGTTTTTTGTCTGGTCATTCTGGATATATACATATTCTTTTAGATGTACAAGAATTCTGAAACAGAAATTTTTCCATGTTCAAAGGTATAGTGTGGTGAAACAGGCCAAGTCTGTCCTGGGATAAAGTGGAGGAGTGCACAGAAGCTGTTTACAAGAGGGGAACGAGCAGACTCGTTTCCTAAGGAAGCTGAGATCCTTCAGTGTGTGCAGCAAAATGTTGGAGCTTTTCCTACAGTTTGTTGTGCTGAGCGCAGCTTACCTCACTGTGGTCTGCTGGAGGATCAGCATCGGGGTTGGTGACACCAACAGACTGGATAAACTGATCAGGAAGGCAGGCTCTGTGATTGGCTGCAAGATGGACACTATTCTAGCTGTGGTGGAGAGGAGATCACTGCACAAACTGTGCCATGGGTCATGGGTAATCCTGACCACCCTCTGCATCACTTACTGGACAGGCAGCAGAGCACCCCATCTAACAAACTCAGCTGGCACAAAGAAAATACATGAAATCTATTATACCACACGCTATCATCCTAATAGTACAGTATACCTGTCAGGCAGACTGCATCTGCTAGATAATTTATTCTTATTATTATTTCAAATTTTAGCTTAAGCCTCTCAATATTCAGCTTAACACAATATCTGTACTCCTTCATTATGAAGACTGCAGAAATCTCTCACCTGAGAAAGGTTTCCATCTTTCATCACATTTTTGCTATATTCAGTGCAGGCTGTCACTTTTTTCTGTTCCCTTTTCAAAGAGGAGCAGAAAGCAAGATACCTCTATATAACTTGTATTAAATAATATTTCACTGAAAAGAGAAATGACCAAAAGCTTTATGTTACCCAAAAAAAAGAAAAAAAAGAGAGAAGTAAAAAGAGCTGCATGTTAACATCGGGCTTATCCATTTGCACTCATGAAATGCATAATACTGACTACACTGAATTTAAAAAACACTCTGATTACACTCCATTTAAAAAAGAAAGACAGTATCAAAAACCAAAGTACTCTAATCCTCCTCCAGTTTGATGAATATCATTTATTGTTAGACTGTTATATACTTGCAGAGCATACGCAGATTGGCATAATATGATAATTTTCTCTACATCGAGAGGTTTGTGAGAAAATATGACCGACATATTTGAGACCGGAAATGAACAGCAGTGCCCACTCAGAAAGACACGCTGCATTAACACTTCACAGCTGTTTCCACTGCAGCCAAAGAGAAGTCTGTTTGTATGTATACCTGGCACAGAGATGTGCTTGGCTTCAGCCCAGCGAGCGGCAGACTGAGAAGTGCAGCCTCCTGTATGTACGGCTGCCAGCCAGCTCATCAATAGTAAATACAGCGTGTGTGGTGTATGGGAATGTGGGCCATCTCTTTGTGGTGCTGCTTGGCGTAAGGCCACAGGTAAAAGTCGATGATAACCGAGTTCACACTGCAGGGCTGTCCATCTCTCTCCTGCACCAGCTTGTGGAGACGGTCTTTGATGAGCTCCACGCACCAAATGGAACAACCTCGGATCTCTACTTCTCTCCGGTCTCCTGAAGACAGAAGCTCACCTGAAAGCAATTATATCTCGTGATTTGAAATATTATCTGCAGTAAGAGAAACAAGTGCATAGACACACTACTGTCTCACCGTTCTTCAACACCTGCATCAGCGTATCAGAGTATCGTAGAGCTCCTAAGTAGACAAGTGCCTGAGGAACCCTGTAGTCCGCAAACATGGTGAGCCAGTCCATGTTAATGATGTCACCCTGTCCTCTGGCCGCCATGATGCCCCAGTAATCTGCCACAAGAATCTGGGCTCGCTTGTAGAATGAGATCCTTTTACCCTTACACAACCAAGAAGGTGACAAAATATCAACATCGTATTTGTCCTTAAGCCATAAATATTTATAATTTGGCAGGTGTTCTTACACAAATATAAAATTAAAGAAATAACGTCTGTGCAAAGAGCATAATGCTCTCCTCTGACTGTATAATAAACTGACAGCATCAGGTTGCTGCACTGTATTTGACCAGGAGGTGGAACTCTCACATCACAATTTATTTTAAATTCTCCAAATGCATATATTTGATCACATATATTTCATATATGCATTTAATATGTATTATGCATTATGCATAATCTATAAAGCAATATACAGGCTGTATCATTAGGCTGAAAACTCAAAGTATCTGCAAAGTTATGTATTTATGCTCCGTACTAATAAAAAGATCAGTTTTCCAAATATTTGGGGAAATTACAGTTTTATGCTTGCTTACTGTGACCTATTCAACCATAAGTGATTGTTTTAGTATCTAAAAACCTGAAAATAAGTGAATCATTCCAACTCTTTCCTCTTGTACCAACTTGACATTTCTGAAAAGCCAAACAAGCGCAGCAAATAGAGGGCGTCTCTTTTACTTTTTGCACATTCCCAATTAGAAAAGGTTCCTAATTTGTACAATGATCCTGCTAAACTCTCACCTCATATGTGGCCTCATCCCTGTACGAGGGGATCTTCTCCACAATGAGCTCCATCATCCTCTGGGCGTCGTTTCCGGCTTGGCTGATGAAACTGCGGAAGCTTCCACCATGTTCCAGCAGCACACGGCCGCCTTCTGTTAGCACCTTGTTAAAAAGATTCAGCATGTGGCTTCTTTAAAAGTAACAGGCAGAAAGCGCCACAATTTAAATTTGTGTTTATAAATGTAACAAAACTAACAGACTCAATAATTAATTGAACCATAAAATCACTTTTCTTGCTTAATATCAAAATAAAATTTGACATTTCATATAAAGAAAGGCAGAAAAATGTGCCAAATATGAATATATGTACCATGATGTATATAAAAACACGCCATCCTTATTCAGTCTGTTGAATAGAGGAATGTAAAACCTTGTTTATTTCTAAAATAAAAAGTCACTGTTGCTTTAAAAAGCACTCCTTTCATTTTGTAAATGCTGAGACTGCCCTGACTGAAAAGACAGCTTTTAGATTTAAAGAAAGTAAAATCAAAACTGAAGTATTACTGAAATCCATATATTGACCAATTGAATCCTTATTTGAATATCGTATTAATATCAGAACCTGGTGACGCTCCCTCAGCATCGGCATGGGTGTTTCATTGTCTGACCGAAGGACACGTCCCAACTCCTCCACGTTCATCTGAGAGAAATACTTTGGATCAGTAATAGGTACACCTGTGGAGTGTGGAGAAGAGAAGGTGCAAGGTGGATTAATCTTAAA